CAAAACCATGAAAATAATATTACACTCGGTATTTATCGCAAATCTCGTATTAAGCTCATTTTTACCGTTTTAAAGATAAAAACTCCACCAACTGTCTAATTTACCCTTTTCAGACCAAAAACCATTTAATAATCCACACTGACCATTTTGAAGTGATCCAAATCTTAAAGATAAATAAAAACACGTTTTTACCGAGCTTTTCGTAAAATTCACCGTTATGCAGTTTTTAATCCGAAAACCATTTTCAAGTGAAATATTTTGCTCAACCTGCCCCAACCTCATTTTAGAGAAACAAAAATCTCTTAATTCAGTTTTAGACTCAATAAACCCAACTATTCATTTTTACGGGGAAACTTGCCAAATATCGATATTTACACCGTAAAATCCATAACAATCAAGAATAATCACCAAATCATCATATCAACAAATAAGTCATCACCCACAGTAATCCATCCATCCAAATATGCAAATCAAGCATAAATAATCGATGCAATAATTAAGGTCCTCTTAATCCCCACACACCTTAATTTAGCTGATTCCAAGTCGGGAATTAAGTTCTAAAATTCCAGAGATTGGCTCCTAAAAATTCTCCTTGTTTCTACGGTCCTGTAGGCGAAAACGGTTCGTCGTTTGGACGTCAAACGAAGAAACTGCGAGCTAATCATCGTTAGTACGAAATTAGGGATTAGTTCTTAATTTTCTGCTGTCCAAAATCTGCAGAAAACTGGAAATTCCCTTACCTCAAGTACCAACTTCCCGGCCTTGTTTCTCCCTCGTCTGAGCTCGGAATTCAATTCCGTAAACTCTGTGATGCTCGTGGTGACTTGCTCTTCGTAGCGGTATCAAGCTTCGAAGCTGATGCTGCCTATAGTGGCACTGGTTTGGTTGACGAAAAGGTTACGGCAAATGTTTCGGTAAAGGATATTTGGTGAGTTGGTTTGGTGATTTTGGCTTGTAAACAGGTTTGTATAGGTTCTAAACCTTTGCTGGGAATACAGAGACTATGCTAGGCTTTGGTTTCATATTATTTCTTTTCTTTTCTCCTCTTGGTGTTTGTATGAAGGCAAAAATGGAGAGCTAGCTTACCGGTATAATAGAGCTCTTTGATTCATGCTCTTACCTCTTCATTCACTTTCCAGCAGATGGAGTAAAGGCCTGGGGCGGCCTTCTAAGGAGCAGTAGCTTTGAAAGGAAGAAACTCAAGTTCCAAAGCCGGCTCCATAAACAAGCTAGCTGCTGGTGCAATGCCGACGTCATTAGCTCATTAATGACTCGGCTCCTTTTGTATCATCGAAACCAGCATAGTCTAACTGGTTATGTTGCTAAACCCTTCCTTACTGACCAACAGGTCAGGGGTTCGATTCCTGCAGCCAACGATATATTTTTGTTGCACTTTTTGCTGTTTGGGGAGTTTTTAAGTGATTTCGTTGATCCTACCTCGTATAGGATAACTTCTCGATTTTTTTTTCAGTCTCAAAACGTGCAATATATGTCCGCTACTTGGGAAAAAAAATTATCCGATGTTCGGGATGTTACAGTTATGATAGTCATCTTGATGATTACAAAGTGGTAGTAGTGATTTCCTATCCAGCTGAAACTCAAGTTCAAGTCTTTGCTCTGAAAACTTCGTCATGGAGGAGAATCGAGAATTTTAAGTATGGGGTTCCATCAGATACGGAGGCGGATGCAAAGTTTTTTGCTGGCCGTCTTTACTATCGAGTGTCAAGTTCTAAGGGTGAAGGGAATAACCAGAGGGACACCCTAGTCTCACTTGATCTTGCAACAGAAAAATATAACAAGGTGAAACTACCTGAATTTCATGGCGCTGGTACTAGTTGGGACATAGAATCATTTGTTGATCGTCTTTGTGTTGTGCAATTTGATGGTTTCCGTTCGTGTGAGGTATGGGTGATGAAAGAGCCAAGGGTGACAGATGCTTGGACTAAGTTGTTTAGTGTTGATCAGGCTGTGGTCGATGCAATGTTATACACTCCACTTTACATTTCAGACAGCGGTGAGGCTCTTTGGAATAACGGTGAAGATTTGTTCATTTACAATTCCAAGAACAACACTATAAGGTTCCCTGCATCGAGAGGCTTGTCCGATCGCGATGGTCCTCCAGTGATCTATATGGAGACCTTAGTTTCGCCAAACATGGATAATTAGCAAAGTGGGGTAAGTAGGTTCAACTCAACTAGATATATGCTTGTTGAATGTGAAATTATTCAATCCAATGTTTCGCCTTGAACAATTCTGCAACCTACTTGTTGATTCCTTTTTCTGTTCTATGTTACTATATATCCTCCTTTGACTTGAAACTTGTGGCCGGTTGTAGGTACCATTAACAATACCGGTTGGAATTTTGTCTACCCCGTAAGATCACCCCGGAGAATGCTGTGCTATCGTCGATGGAATGGAGCAAGACAGTTTGTGAATTTCATTTGGATTTGCATGTGTGATGTAGTACGAACTCATCCTAGTAATTAGTAATTAAGCAATGGTTTCAACTTTCACGGGGAACTTGGATATGTATGTGTGACCAATAACGCTAAAACAATACCGAAAAGTTAGTGGTAGAGTATTTTGTGTTGAATCCGTGGTGTACCTGTCATTTCAGTTGTTTCACTAAGGGGAAAACAATCTGAAACCATGCTGCTCAGATTCAATTAAATATCCAGACAACCCAGAAAAATATCCAGACAACCCAGACAAATACCCAGACAACCCAGAAAAATATCCAAACACATGAACTAAAGGAATATTTCCTCGGGTTCAAATAAATATCCACACAACCCGGAAAAATATCATAATATTTTGAATGAATATCATAGTTTGCGAAAAAAGTATTGCAACTAGTAAAGACAAGTATCCACAACACACAAACTAATATCTACTATTTGTACCCTAAACCCTAAAGTTTAAACTCTATCACCCTAATCACTAAACACTAAAAAAATAAAACTATTATTGTTTTCCCAAGCTGAGAATATTCAAAGGTTCCACAAAAATATCCAAACACATGAACTAAGTGAATGTTCAAAATATTTTGAATAAATATCAGTATGTTAGAAACAAGTATTACAACAAGGAAAGACGAGTATCCACAACACACAAACTAATATCTATTATTTGTACCCTAACCCTAACCCCTAAACTCTATCACCCTAATCACTAAACACTAAAAAAATAAAACTATTATTGTTTTCCAAAGCTGAGAATATTCAAAGGTTCCACAAAAATATCCAAACACATGAACTAAGGGAATGTTCAAAATATTTTGAATAAATATCAGTATGTTAGAAAAAAGTATTAAAACAAGGAAAGACGAGTATCCACAACACACAAACTAATATCAATTAAATATCCAGACAACCCAGAAAAATATCCAGACAACCCAGACAAATACCCAGACAACCCAGAAAAATATCCAAACACATCAACTAAAGGAATATTTCCTCGGGTTCAAATAAATATCCACACAACCCGGAAAAATATCGTAAAATTTTAAAGGAATATCATAATTTGAGAAAAAAGTATTGCAACTAGAAAAGACAAGTATCCACAACACACAAACTAATATCTACTATTTGTACCCTAAACCCTAAACTTTAAATTCTATCACCCTAATCACTAAACACTAAAAAAATAAAACTATTATTGTTTTCCCAAGCTGAGAATATTCAAAGGTTCCACAAAAATATCCAAACACATGAATTAAGGGAATGTTTCCTCAGGTTCAAATAAATATCTGCACAGCCCGGAAAAAATCATAATATTTGGAATAAATATCAGTATGTTAGTAACAGGTATTACAACTAGGAAGAACGAGTATCCACAACACACAAACTAATATCTATTATTTGTACCCTAACCCTAAACCCTAAGGTTTAAACTCTATCACCCTAATCACTAAACACTAAAAAAATAAAACTATTATTGTTTTCCCAAGCTGATAATATTCAAAGGTTCCACAAAAATATCCAAACACATGAACTAAGGGAATGTTTCCTCGGGTTCAAATAAACTCAAACATTCGCTAAACTCTAAACCCTAAACACTGAACTCTAAACCCTAAACAATCAACACTACTAAATAAACTCTAAAAACAATATAATTAGGAAATAATAGATATTCATACTAACCAGACAAAACCCTAAACCCTAAAGAGAACCCAAACCCTTATGTTGAAACCTTAACCCTAACCTCTATACCGTAAACCGTAAACCATAAACCAAACCTAAACAATCAACCCTAAAAAATAAACCGCTCGTCAATAAAAACTAATATTATTTAATGGGCCTTCGGCCCATGGGCCCTCGGCGGGCAGCCCTAACTAAGGTTGCAAGCCTTACGAGTTAGGACTTGATAGTGTGTAGGATATTGTTTTGCAAAGGAATAATACGGCCCAAAATTTCAACAATAATACAAAGCAATATCAACATAACATAAATTAATATCGACTGAGAACAAATAAATATCCACACAAACAACACATACATAATACTAACATGGGCCCATAAAATTTGGTTCTCTTTCCACTCCTCTCCATTCTCCCGCCCAAAATCAAGCTGGGCCCACCACGCCACTTGCTCAGCTCCGCTGCCCGCCGCACGCTGGGCCGAATTTTTGGCCGGATTTTGCTTGTTGGCCCACCTTCAGCTCACTTAAGTGAGCCACCACCGAGCCGAGAGCTCCTCCGTTGGATCAAACATGGGCCGACGTGGCCCTTCATCCTGCCCTGTTAGTATCTGCTAACAGTTTGGCCTGTTAGCAGAATAACTTCTGCGGAACAAGTCATCAGAGTTATCCACAAGATTGGCAAGACCGCCACCAACTGGGACGATGAAGAACGCCAGCTCCAGCAGCAGTTCTAACTCTCTAAGAACCCTGCAATCTGAACACCACCCAATTCTCGGTAGCCCTGAAAATGATTGCCGTTCTATCACCCCACTTCGATTTTGTACTGAATGAATAAAGTAGCAGATGAATGAAGAGTGAGATTTACAGAAAAGGTAGTAACAAAGATCTGTTCTTTCATTGATTTTCTGCCTTTTTTGTACTTTTTTCTACATTAGCTTTTGGGGGGAACTGAAACTGAAGCTAAACTGAAACTTGAGTAATAAACCTAAACCCAGAAAGGAAATCATGAACAAGATGACGATCCTGACCATCATCAAAGCCAAACACTCTTCTGCACTATGTACAATAACACTACATAAAAAGAAAATTCCCCCAAACTCTCCATTCACTTCCTGACTCATCACCAACAATCTACCTCGGCTGCTGAATCGTCCTCGGACTCATCTTCACATTCACAATCTTCGCCGCCTTCTCTGCATACCTCGGCGACCGATTCAGATCATTCTTCCTCCATTTCGTCGATCCCACCGACACCATGTCCCATTTCATCCCCAATTCCTCCTCCTTCTCCTCATCTGCACCAAAACAAAAAAAGAACCCAACCCAACCCAGAGTGAGTCGAATTGAAGCACAACTCGTGACTCAGCGAGCTTAACCTAGGTTGTAGTAGTAGTAATAGTACCTTTGCCGCCGGAGAAGCGGAGGAAATCGGCGCCGTCGTCGAGGAAATCGAGGTCGTCGGGGAGGAAGAAGTCGGATTGGGGATCCTGGTAGCGCTCCTGGAGCCAGTAGTCGCGGAACCAGGTGGAGGATTGGATGAGCGACCACCACTGATCGGAGAAGTCCTCCACCGCCTGGTAAGCCATGGGGACGAACATCGGGGCGTTCGGATTCAAGCTCGACTGCTGATGAGCAAACATTACATCCATCGCTGCTGCAAGAAAATGGGGGAAAAGCGTTTGACGAGGTCTGGAGATTGAGGATAAGAATGACGATTGGTTCAACTTTGGTACGGTTTATATAGGGGGAGATAGGTCGTAAGAGCCCCTTGATTTTGACGGTATTTACTATGAGCCCGAGATATTTGCCACTGTCATATTCGAACATTTAATTAAGTAATTAGGTAATAATTGATACTAATAAATGACATCAATTAGGATAATTAACGGATAAGGGTACTGAAAACTCTTCCTAATTGAATGCTGGTGTTACGCGGTAATAATTAAACAATGTGTTTGTTTGGCACCATACTTTGTGAGATTAATTAAAACTCGTCTTTAATTCGCTTATAAAAAATGATCGACTTTATTGATTAATTCGCTTAAATTTGAAATATTACTTTACGATGTTAGACCATGTAAAAGTGTCATAGTGAACATCCATTTCAAAGTAGTTTTGAAACAATAGACAAATTCCCGATTGTTAATTACGTTTGTTAAAAGCTCAATATGTTGTTGGACCAAATCGCATAAGTAACTCGATAATCATACCAATTCCATCACAAGTAAAGTTCAAATAAGATTTTACCTATGTATTTGGTCATTTACTTCTCAAGACATAGTGTGTAACTTTATTTAAGGAATACAAAAGTTAAGATATTGAATTAGGGAACGAAAATTGAATTTGATAATCGGGGTCGAAATTTGTTATTTTGTTAAGCAGTTGGCGTTCTGGCACATTGTTTCCTGTATAGTGTATAGTATATATACTTGTCTCTGTCTTTTGTACTTTAGTCCATTATCCATAATGATTAGACTTAGATTCTTCATTTGGAACTTTTAATTAATTAAGTTTAAGGGATTCTAATTGTTAACCTTTCGTTGACTGGTATGCTAGACCACCGAGGGGGACCGGAGGCGTGAAGAAGGGATGCCTGTATGTATTTTGAAGACACGTTTCTTTTGTCTTCTTATCTCGAAACACGTCATCGTTCTAATCCCCTTACAGCTGACCTGGACTGGACCAGCTCAGTTACCGTGTGCTGTCGCTGCTTAATAAAATGGGCCTACTCTAGGAGAAGAGAAACAAGGCTTTTTATGGTGTAGATCAATTGGGCCAAGTCCGACCGTGAGGCTCAACCTGCTGGATTCTAAGATTAAGCCCAGGGACGAGAATTATGAACCAATTACTATTTAGCTCTACTGAATTAAATTTTTTTTGCCTGGATCAACACTTACGCATCATCTCTACATTTTGCACAATAAACTATAGAGTTACCTATATAAAAAAAAAACTATAGAGTTAACTAATGAACTAATTTGACCAAAATTTTCTAAAACTCATATTTTGTTGTTGTGTTTGTATTGATGTTGTGCAAACACATGCACAACCACAACAAGAAAAAAATAGATAATTTAAACCTGTTTTGTTGGTAAATATGAGAAATTATAAAAAATCACAACAAAAACAGAAACGCGTTTAGTTACTTCTCAGTAAAAACTACAAAACCAAAAATCAGCATACTTGACATCAATCAAGCAACCTAATTTCTAGTCAACAATTGTTATTAGTAACTAAATATGATCACAATCCGAGAAAAATTGGGCCTCGGTTGGCAAGAGCAAGTGGCATTCTTTGCTGACAATTCTCTGGGGCTTGAAAATTCCGCCAAGAGCAGAAGTGAAGGGAATGGACCAAATTCTGCATACCCCGTTCCAGAGCCAGAAATTAAAGGAAAGAACCAAACTAAATCCCGTGCTTCATTCGATGATCAAAAGCGAATTCCCGGGAAAAAAAATTGTTCGTAGGAAGTGTGAAGTCCCAAACTTCACGGTTTCACGAAACCTACAGAGAGGCGAGCGGCGAGATGGTGCGGCGGCGGAACGAGCGGACGACGGGGTCTGATGCGGCGAAGAGCTTGATGGATGAGCGTTGGCGGCGGGTGCGGCGACAAGACAGGGATGCCGGAGGGATTGTCGTTCCTCTCGGAGAGGAAGAGGATGAGCAGCGGCGGGCGAGTTTTTGTGGCTGAAAAAATAATGGAACGGTTGAATGGCGAGTAGGGCTGGGGCCTTATGGAAGGGTTGAGAAAAAATAAACAGAATTTCCGTATGTGAGGGAACTCGAACTGGGGGTTAGTTTAATGAAATCAAAGACACAACCAGTTAGGGGTGTTCAAACGGTTTGGTTACCGTGGTAACCGTTTTAACCGGTACTATATGGATAATTTGGATAATTGGTTTGGTTTGGTTAAAATTTTTAGCTTGTTTGGTTTAGGTGGTTTGGTTTGGTTTCAGACACTCCTAACCAGTCAAACCAAATTAACCAGTTAAGTAATTAGTCATATATCTAACATATATTATATACACATACTTAATACTTTGCATAACCACTCAATAGTTAAGGTTCATCCCTTTTAGACTCATAAAATATAAAGCTCAATATTGCTCATATATATTTGTATATGTAAAGTGTAGACCAAACATATGGACACCTAATTTAGATAAATTTCATACATTATGATGGATGAAAACTTGAAAGGAAGGTCATTTCCAGCCTATGATAATTGCTAAGAGACTAAGTCAATTTACACAAACACAACAATTCATTAACCCATACCATTGTCATAAATTTTTATAAGGTGAATACTTCTATACTAATCGTAAGATAATTGTCTTAGTTGCATGTATTTTTGTTAAGGGTCAACTATAACTACGTGTTGATTGTTATGTTTTATTCATTATATAAATTGCAAATTGTTGCATTAACCGGAAAATTTTCATCGTCAATGATAATGTGATTTTATATTGGTTAATCTGGTTAACCAATTAACCAAACCGATTAAACTTTAGTTTGGTTAATTTGGTTGTTGTATTAGTTTGGACGGTTTGGTTATGATATTGTATTCCATGGTTAATGGAATTTAGCCTTATTTGGTTTGGTTATAACCATGGTAACCATTTGAACACCCCTACAACCAGTAGAAATCCCGTGTTAAACATGTGTACGAATCAGATCCAAAGCAATAATTAATTGTTTCTCTGATTTGGGCCTGGTTGTGTAACTCTGTTTCGCAACAAAAATTAAAAATCTAACTAAATATGTTTTTTCTCCTCGGTTTCTGCGATTTTATAAAACACAACAGAAAACAAAAACAAGCAACAATACTAAACGGACCATAACTATACAGATTGATCGTCAAATTGGATGGTATAGGCCAGCTTTCCACACACAACAATCTGTACTTCAGTGTTACCTCAATAATTCTTAACGTACAACACAGCAGAAATTGGAGATATTAGTGTCAGCAATGACTAATGATGAAGGTCTGTTCACGAGAACGTTTGAATTGTTTGCTCAGGTAAAAAGATACAGTTTTGCATCCTCGAGCAAAAAAAAGAAAAAAACATACTCAATACAAAGGAAGTACAAAATATGGTAAGTTCTGGAGAGACTAAAAATGCCTGCTTTTTTCATCGTTTATTGCTCAATATCTAAATCTACTTCACAAAGCAAACAAAGCAACAGAAAGACACTGCCATTCTCTGAGCCATAAGATTGCAAGGGCAAAGCACCGCCACAGCAAAAAGAAAAGCAATAGGAGCGTTGATCCTCGAGGCTGCCAATAATAGGACCAGGATGTTACTGAAGCATTGCAGGATGAGTTTTACTTCTGGATGCCGGGAAATGATGGTAGCACAGCGATAAGAGGGTCCTTGTATCCAACAGAATCTGCATCATGTGCAACAAGGGATGTTAGGAACAACAACGAAAGAGACACGTTACATCCTACCGAAGTTTTCGAATACTAAGAAGCTAACACGATGAAATTTTGCTTAGGATCTACTGGCCATTAGTTTTCCTAAAGTCCCAGCCTGGACTCACTCGATGTCCCTAGGTTCCTAACTGAAGACTAAGGCATCATTTACGAACGGGCTTGATATAAATCAGTTTGAAAGAACTTTTCCATCTGCCTCAGACAAACACAAGCTACCCCGTCTAGAAAATGTACCCCAGGAAGATGGAGAAGGGAAGAGTGAGAAAGAGAGGATAAGTAAGTAAGATCGTGCTGGTAAGGAAAATTAACTGTCTTTGATGTCACAACTACAATTTCTATGTATGATACATGAATGCAAAGGAATTGATCATTAGCACGGATCAAGCTGATAACTCTCAGAAATGTAGAGAAGGAGAAATTTTACCTCCGTCATTAAAAAGAATCTTTAGAACTTCGCCAGCTACATCAGTCTGCTCAGTCATCAAGAAGCACCGCGATCAGGCAAAATTGGATTCAATTCAGAGATATGAAAAACAATTAACGGAGAGCAGGAGACTCACCTTCACCGGAAGTTCAGTGCCAAACTGATCTAAATATCCAATCACCTGTCCTTCTTTAATCATATTACCCTGCATTGGAATAAAGTACATTCAGTTTACAACAATCGTGCAACTCCAGGGATAAAACATTCTCAAGGTACAGATACCTCTTTGCAGATCTGAGGTTGCTTCTTTCCTTTCACTGTACGGTTCTTCCTGAATGTACCAACCTGAAAAATTAAAGGATGGATGTATGCTCAATTGAAGTGTTTTTTGGTAGAAAAAAGGAAATGAAAGACAGAAAACTCTCAGCCGCCAACTCAAGCACAATCACTTACTGTTGGAGAAGCAACTAGAACGAAGCCGCTAGCACCAGAAGCCTCCAGAGCTGCCAACCTTGGAGACTTTCCAAAGGAGACATTTGTAAATGGATTGGACTTTTTTGGTGGTGGAGTTGGTGCTGGTGGAGCAGCAGGAGCTGCTACATCCATTGGTTTAGATGGAATAGGTGGTGGCACTGTTGGTGAAATGTTGGACAGTGGGGCATGTGTAACTCCTATGTTACGCTTCAGATGCATTTCGAAGTCACCCACCTATCAGAATCAGACAGATGAGTACACAGGACCCAAAGATTTACAGATGTAGTTCTTCGATCATGTGAGGATGATGGGTTTACCTTCAGTTTCAGCTCAGCAACTTCTGTTTCATCACAGACCTCTAGCATCAGAGCCTGATAACGAAAGAACAAGAAGCAAGAGCAATCATTAAGGTTCATGACAAGCAGATGTCACGAATGTTATCGCACTTTCTAGCTCAATATGGCACTTAAAAGATCCTCCCAGTAGCAGCTTCATTGCATTCTTACTAGACATATTCCTAAGTCCTAACTCCTAACAAGCATGACTACGGGTTGGATGTCTAATTGTCCAGGTGGTAATGATAGTCTCTTGTACCTGAACCGGTGGCTCACTTTTTTCAAAGTAATGGGGAAGTCCCCTTTTTCCGCCCTCTTTGGTCTTAAGAATACTAGTTTTAAGAATGAGTAATTGCCCTTCTCCGACCCTTACTGCCCAACCTTATCACTCGGAGCAACATGTAATCGGTTCTACAAAACATCACAGAAGTACACTGAAGCGTGGATTTGGCAAGGGGAAATAATTAAAGCACTCACTTCAAATCCACTGGGGAAAGTTGCACGATGTGGCACACCATTATTCTCTGACGCAGCTGGTACAGAGCCATCTGCTGAAATTAAACTTAGTCCGTCAGCATACACAGTAAGGATAAAACCGCAATTGGCAACATCAGACCACAACTGATACATGTTCTCCATTGTTGATTTCAGGAAAGACATTGAAACTTCCCAAATGAGAAGGCAATAACGCTCAAATTCCATTACAGTACTAGCAAATACCATAACTATAGGTTCCATGTCTCAAATCGAATGTTGAATCACAAGCTGAAACCCCCGCGGCCGAAAGTGCGGTCAAAACATTAACCACCGGCAGCAACTCAGAAATTCAGTCCGAACTAATGGAATCAGCTTCTATGGATCAGAGTATCGATCCACCTACTACCTTACTGGGAAAACCGAATTCAATCTCGAGAGAAACGGAAAATACGCACCAGCAGACTTGGACGCTACAGAAGAATCAGATGTCTTGGCGCACGATACTATCGACAAATTCCTCTTGACCGGCGAGCAAACAAGCGTCCTGCTGAAGCCAAAAGTCTGGACAGAAGAAATTGCACCGGGCCTTTCTGCTAGCGGCTGTGCGTTTGAAACCGTAGGCACCGAACCTGAGAGAGCGAATCTAGCACAATCAAACATCTCAAGAACTAAAGCTCAAGGATCCGCAGTCTACATACAGCAGATCTCTCTGGAAACTGGCATCGGAAATTCGAACCAGACTAACTAGAGCAATATAAGCACGAAACAACGAAATGCGAGAGCAACAGTAACAGAGAAAGCTTGAGAGAGAGAGAGAGGAAGAGGGAGAGTTACAGTGGAAAGAGCGGAGAAATACGGAGGACTCCATGGGAGAGGACTTGAATTGGAGCTTCAAAATGGGGGAGAATGGAGGAGGAGTTTATAGCGTGGGGGGAGAAGAGAATTAGTTGGTTAGCTGAACTATGAATGAGTGACGGACTATGTTGCGAGGCGAAGGAGGGTGTCTTTGTAATGTCCGCCTGCTCTCTCTTCGCTCCTCAGTTTCTCCACCAAAACCACGCTGAGAGAGATTAAGCGTATAATTAAGTACAAAACTGCGGTTGATCTTTAATTAATCGAGATTATGCAGCAAACTTACTGGAGCGAGGGGAAATGTTTAGCAGTAGCCAGTAAGCAAGGTGTGGGATGGGATAATGGAAATGTCCGTCGAGTGCAACGTGCCAGGCAGATTGGGTGTTAAATTGTTGCCAGCTCGTGGCAAGGTTGGGCCCTGAGATTGGGCTCGGGATCAGTTTCTAGTTGGGCTCAATGATATACGATTGAACGCCCAACGGAAGTTCAATGACTATCAAATCCGGATTACTTACTTCAAAGATTTTACGAAGTGCAAATCACATACTTACAGTTACAGATGAAAGTTCGAAATTTTGATGAATTGTTTTGTGTCATTTTGGCTAGACTCGTTTTCGGTTGCCACTCTCAATCAATTTAACAATGTAGTTACAATCAAGTGCGAATATCGTTATCGAATAATTTGACAATATACTAGTGACGTCATGATTACCGCATATTTAGTACTTCAGATTTTCATAAATACTACTTGATAGGGAATGAAGAGTGGTTTTTGTGCCGTGAATGGTAATGAGAAATGCGACCGACAATTGCAGCAGCGCCATAAACGTGGCGCCTAGTCAATAAAACCACTGCCCTCACGCTCACACACAGTTCCCCTTTCCGTTCTTCCTGCCAATAACTCCGCCCACCGACACTTTCTCGTGAACCTTAGACACTTTCTTCAGTTCTATGGTTGGCACTATTCTTACATTACCAGCAAGGCTGAAACAGTACAGTGTTTTGGAACAGAACAAGCAAACTCTTCTCATGTTCGTGAAAACCATGCTCGCCCGTTTCAACTCCATGGAGAATTGGAGATGGAATCATCTATTCTAACCCTCCTAAAGCAGATATATCAGTGCATTTCACCTTATCTGAAGCCTTCACAATGTCCCTAACTTAACCTGCACAGGGGGATTAGCTCTGTCCTGTCAAAATCCCTTACCCCGATAACTACTCGAGCCTTGCATTTAGAAGATTCAGACCAAGGAAACATGCATGCTTAGCTTACTATCAAGCAAGTACCCAATTCCCCTGCTCAACAGTCTACGGGTAAGCATAATGGCATACAGGCTTGCACATTCTCAGCCATATGATAAAGAATCATACAGCTATTATGCACGCGGAATGCAGACGCATCAGGTCCAATCAATTTCCAGCATCCCATGCAGATCAGCCGTCCAATTCTTGGTCGGACGACTCAGAACCCCCCTATAGCTAGAATTGCCAAGTACCAAAGTAAAGTCATCTAGTAGTCCGAACTAAATCGTAGCTTCAACCAGAGCCCTTGATTTACAGTGGTTCCATTTCCACGCAAGTTCAACACTCTCCTCTAGTAAAGTCTCACAGAACGATCATGCCTATCACAGTATTCTACATAAAAGCCATGAGCAACTCCTACCTAAACTCCTAATCATCATATCGAACTAGTCTGTACTAAAGTCTGTACATAGACTCCTAACTTTCCAGAAACCATTACAGACTCCTAACTTTCCAGAAACCATTCTTGCAAACCATAGACGCTATCACGATTTCATGCGATTCTCGTATCTAAAGATTCGTTCCTAATAAAACTGTGGATGGACATCCTTGTCTAGCTAAAACAAAGAGCTATCAGTCATCCCAGCTAGTTACTAGACTAATGGGTTCATCAATCAACAATGCATAACTCCAAGGATTCACAGGGAAGGAATCAATGCACTATTTTTTTTTTTTTTTTTTTGTAAGGATCAGATCAGTGTACTATCAGTCTATCACTTGGTTAAATATACATGAATGGAGGAACAATAGAGGATTCATGGCTGGGAATTGATAGAAGATCAACTGTATAGCACGGATACGAATTACCACAACATAAGCAACGATCAAAAGTACAATAAAAACGAATCAATTGGATTTAGTACTGCCATGACATGAAGCTCAGATCTTCTACAAGAAATCTAATTAACAACTTGCAGTCTCAACGATAACAGATTTCAAGAAAATTCAAGTCTTGCTCAGTCAAAACCTACATGCGACTTCAATTAAAGAAGAAAAAGGAAAAGCTATGAGCGAGAGAGTTCAGTTCTCACTTTTCAATTCTCACACGCGAGCGCCGACAACGGGAGCGGCGGCGGCAGCGGCGGAGGAGGCGGCGCCGCCGAGGAACGAAAGGAGCCCGACATTCGCTGGCTCTTGCGGCTCGTCAAGGAACAGATCTTCCGGGACCCTGAAGGCGCCGTGGACGCACACAATCGCGACTCCAGCCATCAGCGCCGAGATCAAGAGCGAGCCGACGCTGGTCAAGAACACGACGACGATGGTCGACACGAGCAGGACGCCGAGCGTCTCGCGCTCGGAGAAGGTCCGGCCGAGAATCACCACGGGCTGATCGGAAGGCCGGAAGAGGTAGAGGAAGATCCAGGACGCGAGGAGGGAGAGGAGCACCAGGAGGGAGAAAGGATGGGACAGGAGGGAGAAGCCGAGGACGACTACGAGCATTGAAATGTAATTGACCTTGAAGTAGGACAGATTCTTGCGGATCCGGGCGGCGGCTTCGGTGAGGGAGTCAGGGCGAGCGAATGCGGAGCGGTCGATGAGCTCCGTCCATGGGCGGCGCTGGGAGAAGCCCTGGCGGACGGAGGAGGAGAGGCGGGAGATGAAGTTGCGGAAGGCCGGCGTAGCAATTGGAGGCTGGGATTCGGGGTTCGTCACCGGGAGAGGCGGAGCGGCCATTGTTTTCTGGCGGCGGTGCAGGATCCAGAAGCGGAGAGATCGGCGGTGGTTGCCGGGGATCTAGAGGAGGAGACGGGAAATAGAAAGAGAGATCTTCTCTGGGAGTTGAAGACAACTGGAAGGAATACCGTAGAAAAGGCTGACTCGCAGTCGCAGAGGCGTGTGTGTCAGTGTGTGTGGCTGAGGGAGAGCGAAATAGTTAAAGGCCGTGGGCCGGGTCCAGATTGAAACTTTCAATCCGAGTCGGTGTTACCATTCTATACTATGGGCTTCAATCGAAAGATGGGGCGACGGCCTAAATGTTTGAGTATTTGGGCATCCCAAAACCTGTAGGGGCAAGCCTATGAGAATACAAAGTGGAGTGGAGTAGCATGCCCTTGAGCTACACCAAGTTCACTAAGAAGCCAACGGAGCCATAGAACTTTACTAACAGTGGACGCCGTGGCGCGATATTCTGCCTCTACAGAAAATCGAGCAACTACCTGCTGTTGCTTCGTGCGCCAAGAAACGGGAGAGGACCCAAGAAAGATGTAGAAACCACTGGTCGAGCGACGAGTGGACTGACAGCCACCCCAATCTGCGTCGCAATAAGCAGTAAGAGAGAGCTCATTAGACGTAGGGAAGTAGAGACCTTGACCAAGAGACATCTTCAAGTATCGAAGGATCCGTAGAGTTGCCTCCATATGTGTTTGTGTAGGAGCATGAACAAAACGACTCAAAATGTTAACCCCATAAGTGATGTCCGGACGAGAAACAGTGAGGTAAAGTAAACGACCAACCAACTGACGAAAGGCAGAACCATCAAGAAGGGTGTCAGCGGAAGGCTTCGTGAGCTGGTGGTTCTGTTCCATCGGAAAAGTGATGGGATGTGCACCAAGAACACCTACCTCACTCAAGATGTCCAGGACGTACTTACGTTGATTAACGACCAGACCTTGCAGAGAACGAGCTACTTCGAGACCGAGAAAGTAGCGCAGGGGACCTAAATCCTTGATACAAAACTGGTCGTCAAGACGATGCTTGACGTGGGTGATGAAGTCCATATCTATGCCTGCAAGAATGACGTCATCAACATAGATAAGAGAGAGGACAAAAGTGGTACCTCGATTGCAGGCAAACATCGAGTGATCTGCAGGGGAAGGATGAAAACCGAGATCACACAAGGCAGCGGTGAACTTTTAACACCAGTTTCGATACGCCTGTTTGAGCCCATAGATAGATTTATTCAACTGGCAAACTCGCTTGTCACCAGGAGCAGCAAAACCGGGAGGAATCTTCATGTATAATCCCTCATGAAAATCACCATGGAGAAAGGCATTGTTAACATATAACTGGTGGATAAACCAGCCACGAATGACCACAACAGCAAGAAGAAAATGAACAGTGACGAGTTTAGAAATTGGTGCAAAGATATCGTGATAGTCAATACCTTCAACCTGAGTATAACCCTTGGTGATGACCCGAGCCTTGAACCTCTTGATCTCATTATCATGCAGAAATTTTGTCTTATATACCCACTTACAATTGATGGGTTTGACGTCTGGGGGAAGCTCGACAAGGGTCAAAGTGTTATTTTCCTCAAGAGCACTAACCTCGGTTGTCATTGCTGCACGCTAGTGAGCATACCGAATCACTTGATGAAAGAATTGTTGATCAGGGGTTCAATTGACTGTAACAAGGAAAGTGCAGTACCAGGGCGTGGCGGGAGCATAGGAGACATGATTGGAGAGAGGATACTGAATGTGGGAGTCAAGATTAACACTTGTGTCGTAGATGGCTAGATTCTTGGAAGGCCAGCGCCGACGATGCCCGTGACCAAGTTCGGGTTCAGGAGGGAAAACAGGCATCTCTTGCAGCTCCGTGACAGGGGGAGGAGATGAGGATGAAGGCCTAGCCGACGACTCGAAAAGTACTGGGGATGGAAGGAATGTAGGAGACAGACCCGGCGAGGTCGTTGTTGGAGCGACCACCGCTGGTGAAGACGAAGACAGTCCGAAAGGAGACGAAGGCTGGGGACTAGGAAATGATGGTGCATGGTCATGCATGGGGCTATACGTGACCACACAGTCATCAAGAAGAGCTTGACCAGCCGGGGAAGAGTCCACATCTTGATCAAATATGTCGGGGGAAATCCAATGATACTCTCGAGGATCTTGCGCATGGAAAGTATAGTATGTCTCTGTTCCTTCTTTGTCTTTTGGGTTGGCCTCGACTGCTTGTCTGGCGGCTGGTTTTGGCTCTTTTGGCCTTTGCCTTGTTTTTGTTTTTGTTTTCCCTTGGACTGCTAGGCCCTTCCGAGTCACCCCTTTGTGACTCCTGACCGCTTTTTTGTATTTTGTCTTTCTCCGTTTCAATTC